AATATGTTATTGTTTGAAGTGTCGGAAGCAACAGCTCTCTTGTTTGCAGTTCCTATGAAAATCATCCTTATAGTTTCTCTGGTGTCAGGTGTCAGCTTGTGACAATCTAGTGGGAGTTTTAAACTGCACTTGTGCCAATTGAAACTGAGAATGACAATAGCCCTTTATAAACAGGAGTAAGGTAGAGACTTGTATGCCATTGTTTAACGTCATTGTAATTTAAACACGAATCTCAGAGTTGAATAGATAACACTCACACATTGTAGCATTGTTTCTGATTACGTACTTGTGGTTTAAAACTTTGGGTTTTCGTAACATACATGTCACTATCTGAATTGGAAATCTGAATTGTCCAATGGTGCTTCAAATACAACTTCTCCACATTTTTCTATGTTTCATCATACAGTAGTTTCTTAACTTTTTTATGATTTTTATTATAAATGGGGTAAAGTTCTAGAAAGGTGTAAATATTTGAGGAACATTCATTGGGGAAGGGAAAGGTTCTCAGTGTTTTTGCCTACAGTATTGAAAGGAAGAAAAGAGAATCTCAGTCTGGTAACTGAGGTTATTAATGAATACATATTTTGCAGGTTCTGGAACTATTAATTCAGAAGGATGGAGCATTCCAAGAACTAATACAAGTGTCATTGGAGCAAGGCAAAGTCCATGAGGAGATGCAACTTTTGGAAAAAGAGGTGGAAAAAAGAGATGCTGATATTCAGCAACTACAGAAGCAACTCAAAGAGGCCGAGCACATACTTGTGAGTCAAACCTTCTACTTTTTTTTTGCAAAAGTCTAGACCTGATCCTATGCTGTGTGAGTCCCAGTAATATATTTATAACGTGTTAAAATCCTAGAGGTATAAAGTCTCGATGAAAGCGAAAGTGGACAGTAGAAGTGCAGAAATCACAATGCACATGGGTATTATAATTGTTGTTCAATGAAATACCAATTATATTGTAATTTTTTTTGTTAGGCAACTGCTGTGTATCAAGCCAAAGAGAAGCTAAAATCTATTGAAAAAGCAAGAAAAGGTAAAAATGTTGCTGAATCCAGTAAAGCACATATTGTACAATTGGTGTACTTCAGAGACTAATTAAACACATTTTAGTTATACCAGGCTTCATATTCTGAAGAATTTGCTGTTATCAAAAATATGCCTTTGCCTGGTTAGTGGATATTAAGATTTAGATTTTTTCAAATGTGTTATGACTTTAGTTTGCTATAATGTGCTTGAGTGGTAAATTTCCAGCATCGACCTAAATAAATTGTTACTTTCCTCTTTACTGTAATCCTGTTTGTAACCAACCTGTACAAAGGCCTTGTTTATGTTTATGAACCGAGGAAGCAAGTAATAAATCTGCTTTTGGAAGACTGCATTATGGAGATAATCTGGTATAATTTAAAAAGAAAGCAGACAGTGAATGTAAATATTTAGGCTGCGTTTGTTCCAAAATCATTTGATCACTTATGTGTGTTTGTTTCCTTTAATTGTGCTTTAAAGTGAGTTAATCTCTTCATTTCAATCATTTGACTGTGTTATCCTCAGTAGATTATGAAGCAGTAATTGCAGTCTGTGTAATTTCAGCACTACATTTAACTGTTGTCATTTTTAAAACAATGGTATGTAACTTTAAATTGCAAAATGCAGGCAAAAACAGCCATTGAGTCTTGTTCAGCAACATACGGTCAGCACTTTGAGTTTAGGCTCCTATTGTCTTCTGAGTCCTTTAATTTTAAATCTTACTTGCTTCTAATCCTCTCTAATCCCATATTACTCACATTAAAGCAGAGAATGGACAGTGATTGGAACAACCAAGCTGTAGCACTTTGTTTGTCTTCCTTTTTTCAATGTTTTTCAACTGAATGAGTAAACATACAATGTCAGGTATTCTGTGAACTGTATACATAGAAGTTATCTTTGTGGCCTTGAAAGCACTTCCTGGTTTCTGAAAGTACATGGATTAAACATTCTTTCAGAATTGTTCAAAAGACTAAAGAAATGTTTTCTCTTTTTAGGTGCCATCTCATCAGAAGAACTGATCAAATACGCACACCGGATAAGCGCTAGTAATGCTGTAGCAGCCCCACTAACCTGGGTACCAGGTAACACTTCATATAGGTTTCTTTCTAATTATTATAATGGAGAATTCCCTTGACTATTCTCCTACTGTTGATTTCTTGTATTTTGTTTGGTCACCTGAGTGTTTTTACACATGTGAAAACCCATCATGCTTAAGAGTATTCAAACATACTGAGAGGTTCTGTCCCTGAATGGTTCAGATCCCACCTCACATCGTCTCCACTTCATCTCCACAAACGGCTTCTCCTCTAGCCCCCGCACTGTCTCATGCGATGTTCCTCAGGGCACTCTCCTTGTTCCCCTCTTCTTCAATATCTATATGCTCCCTCTTGATCACTGTCAGACATAAAGTGGATGAGAGCTAACTTTCTACAGTTGAACGTCAACAAGACTGAGGTTCTCCTGATTGGCTCCCGTCAGAGCCTCCACACCTCAGGTGCTGATAGCATTACTATCCAAGGATGCACACTCCATCTCACTGAGTCCGTCTGGAACCTTGGTGTCTTGTTTGACCCTCAACTGTCCTTTTTACCCCACATCCGTGCCATGACCCACTCTGCCTTTCCCCACCTCCGCAACATCGCCGAGCTCTGCCACTGCCTCACCCCTCTACGGCCTTGTTCCTCCCTACCTCTGTGAGCTGCTGGCCCCTTATAAACCTATCCACTCCCTCCGCTCAGCAGGCTCTGACCTGCTCCAAATTCCCCCGCCGGGCCTGCTCCACCATCGGTGGCTGGGCCTTCAGCCTTTCTGCTGCCACCCTATGGAATTCCACCGCACATTCCCTTCGCCTCACTCCCTCACCTCCTTCAAGGCACGTCTCAAAACCCTCTTTGACCAAGCCTTCGATCACCCTCCCTGATCCTGACCCCCAGCTCCGGTCCAAATTCCTGACTGTGCAGCGCCTTGGGACGTCCTCCCGATGTGAAAGTCACAAATGACATCCTCTCCATCTGTGACCAGGGCTCCCTCTGCCTGCCCGTCCTCCTGGACCTCTCCGCTGCGTTCGACACAGTCGATCACGCCATCCTCCTCCACTGCCTTTCCTCCGTCATCCACCTCAGTGGGACCACACTCGCCTGGTTCGAGTCCTACCTCACAAACTGCCAGCAGTACATCTGCATAAACGGCCTCTCCTCCCGCTCACCTGTGGGGTACCCCAAGGATCCATCCTTGGCCCCCTCCTCTTTCTGATCTATATGCTCCCTGTTGGGGATATCATCCGCAGACATAGGGTACATTTCCATATGTATGCAGATGATACCCAACTCTACTTTTCCACCTCTCTTTGTGACACCCAGTCCCCTGATCTGTCAGCCTGCCTGTCAGATCTCAGGGGCTGGATGAGCGCAAACTTCCTTCAGCTGAATGTTGACAAGACGGAAGCCATACTCTTCGGCTCTCGTCAACATCTAAAATCTTATGGCTCTCACCTCCTCCACCTACCCGACCTCCCCCTAAAACTCTCCGAACCCGTACGCAACCTAGGCGTCAGGTTCGACCCCCAATTATCCTTCCTCTCCCAAATCCGGTCCCTTACCTTTTTCCACCTCCGTCGCATCGCCCGTCTCCGCCAATACCTCTCCCCAAAAGCCGCTGAAACTCTGGTCCATGCCTTTGTTACCTCTTGGCTGGACTACTCCAACGCCCTCCTCGCCGGTCTCCCATCCACTACGATCCATAAAATCCAACTCATTCAGAACTCTGCCGCCCGCATTCTCACCCGCATGAAACTCCGCTCTCTGATCACCCCAGTCCTTGCCAGACTGCACTGGCTGCCTATCCCAGAGAGGATCGAATTCAAGATCCTCACCCTCGTATTCAAGTCCCTGCACTCCTCTGCACCCCCCTACCTCTCTGACCTCCTCTCTCCTCAGCACAGTATCCGTTGCCTTCGTTCCTCCAGGTCTGGCATCCTCTTTGTCCCCCGAGTCCTCCTCTCCACCCTCAGCGGCCATGCCTTCAGCCACTATGCCCCGAGGCTCTGGAACTGCCTTCCTCACTCCCTTCGTCTTGCTCCCTCCCCATTTTCAGGTCTCTGCTGAAGAGCTTTCTTTTCGACCGCACCTTTGGTCACCTTTGCCTCCCTCTCCCTGGCTCGGTCCCGGGATCCGAAACTGTAAAGCTCTCTGAGACGCCGTCCGGCGTGGAGGGCGCTATATAAATCCAAGTTGTTGTTGTACAAAAGTAATTTGTACTGTATTGTATTATTCACATTTGTATGCCAGGTACACAGTGATGTCCCCTTTTCCTGGAATGGAATGGGGAGAGAGAGGCACCCTGCTTATCTAATTCTATATAGGGCTAAGCGCAATATTACAGGCCTATTTGGCTCAGGAACCAGACTACTGAAGCTGCCACTGAGGGTTGACCCTGACAATGATAGTTTGTTGCCAAGTATCACCCTAGAGCCAACTCAGCTCTAAGGAGACCCCACTTACGTACCTTCCCTCCCCTCCTCCCACAAATTTCTGTACTTTGTTGTATCTATGTAATTAAACTTAATTGCTTAACCATGGTTATATTATGCGGTGTATCCAGAGAGAGCTATATAAAGAATATCAGTGAGTCCTATTCAGTATTGTTGTTTTGGTACCCATGCAATTCTTTTCTTATCCAATTGCTTTCTTGCTGGATCCCTGAGAATTGGGTATCAAACATCACAGTCAAAATAGCACAAAAGTTGAGAATTGGGTATCAAATATCAGGACTGTTATAGTGAACGTGTTGGTCTGTAAATGGCTGTTAATCTTTTTGATGGTTTAATTACTGATCTATTGCAGTATTTGGAAAGTTGTTTATCATAATGTTATAAGTGTTATGGGTAAGACATGTTTTTTAATATATTGGAGGGCTGATAGGATATGAACATGTGATTTAATGAATGTTTTCTGATTAAGGTGATCCACGGAGACCCTATCCCACTGATCTGGAAATGAGGAGCGGGCTTTTGGGTCAACAAAGTAATCTTTCAACTAATGGGATGAATGGACATCTGCCTGGGGATGCACTGGCTGCAGGGCGATTACCAGGTAACATCTATTAACAAAATGCTTGTGTAGGTGTAAACTCTGGGCAAAATTAAATTTGAAATGTGAAGTTCTAACAGTACATTACATCAAGACTAGAAACCAGTAATTGGAAATGTGGTGTATTTCAGTTTTACCTACAAACCACAAGGTGCTTGTTGGTTCAAGCCACACATTGAAGTCTGGTCTTATAGTTCAGTCTGACACTCGGATGCAGTATTGGCAGGTTGTCATAAAAACATTCCTCGGCAATTGAGAATATTGTCATTTTATGTTTTTTTGGTGGGGAGGTATGTATTTTACAGCCAGCTGTGGTTTTGGATTGAGAAGGAACGAGAATTAGCTCTAGCAAGGAAAACAAAACAGACCAAAGAAGAACTTTGTAAATGACCTGCACCAAAGCCACCTTCAATGAAACAAAAAAGCTTTGTTATATCAAATGGCAAAATGGTTAAATATTTTATGAAAATTATCTGATTTCAGATGTACTTGCACCCCAGTATCCATGGCAGTCAAACGACATGTCTCTCAACCTGTTGCCTCCAAACCACAGCAATGACTTTATGCTGGAGCCTCCTGGACACAACAAAGAAAATGAAGATGATGTTGAAGTTATGTCAACTGATTCTTCAAGTAGTAGTAGTGACTCTGACTGAAGTAAAAAAAGAGAGCAACATAGTCTAAGGCCCATGAAGAACATGCTTATTCCTCCAATACTGCTGAAACATAACTGATATGAACATACAAAGAAATTGTATTTTGGAGATAAGAGGATCTTGTATTCTTCAAGTATGAAGTACAGCTATGTGTGTACTAGTCTCCAGTGATGGATTTAGTGTAATGTAATCCAATTTAATTTAATAATAGGGGTTGATAATCACACCAAAGTTTACAAACCTCTATGAAAATGTCAACAAATGTGGCTAACAACACAGTGTGTACTTGCGTTATAGGTTATTATCAGTGTAAGAATAATATTTTGTCACTGGTGAGAGAAATCTATGGCTTTTGAGTACGAGTGAGTATTTGATTTCTAGGCTTCATAGGAACTGGAGCAGGAAACAAGTAACAATATGTCAACTTATTATCTGAGGACTTTCTGAATAAAGAGAAAATAGCAAAGCTTTAAAACTTAGCTTTAGACATGCAATTTACTGAGTACAATTAAATGCATTTCAACAAAGTTTTAGTCTTAAAAGCAGATGTGAAGTGGAGTTGTTTCTATGTGTAACAGAATATCTTCAAGCACAGTCATGTCATCTCTGACACTTAAATTTGAATCCCAGCTCAAACTGATTGGATCAAAGTGCTCTTTCTGCAGGCTCTATGAGTACTAAAAATAGTGAACTAGTGCAAGAAGGTGTGGACCACAGCACAAAATTACTCATAGTAGATATAAATTATTAAACAAGAAGACTGCTATGGAAAATGAAAAAATGCACTGTTTTAGTAAAGGATGATTACTGTAGAGTAGAGGGAGTTTAGTCATCAAGCCATGGTAAATGATTGAAACGGTAGAAATGTTGCATTCTTCAGCACGATGCCTCATTTTAATTAGCCCCAAGCAACACCTCTTTAGATTGAGAGCAGCTAAAGCAATTCTATTGTGTTGTTAAAATACCTGTACACTATAATGCAAACTAAAATTTTTGTACACAGTTTACTATTTTTTTCAGGTGTAAATTTTTGTAATTTAAAAAGTGCTTCATTTGTGTTTTTCTACTTTGTAAATAAAAAAATTGAAAACTAGAAACAAATTGCAAGAGTATTATTTGCCACCTCTAGTTAATTATGTTGATTGTATCACTGACCATTAGGAAGTTTCATTGATGTATTAAATGAGATTCCACAGCTTTAGGTGGACCAAGCATTGAATTTCAAACTATGTAGCTCTGAATGTAGCACAGAGGAAGTTGTTTACTGGATTTCAGTATTCTCCTTGTTGGGCTGCTTTAGAGCTTCATTCCCCTATATGCTTTTCTTAGTTAATTTCCTTACATAGCTGTGGTTAGTTCATAAATCAGTGCTAAGTTGCTGGGATGTGATGCTTATACCATCTGGTCCTAAATTCCAGTAAGTAGGAATACTGTATCCTAAGCCTGATATATTTTCTCAGCAGTTTCCTCAGCCACTTCCGTCTTCGACGTGTTTACTAACCAGTTTGGTTTTATTTTAGTAAACACTGCATCATTTGAAACACTCAAGTTTTTTTTGTGTAAGGCTTGAATTCTTTGTTTTTAATGAATATGAAATGACTAGCAGATGGTAGGTGCAGAGAACCCCTCTCCCTACCACACCTGCCAGTCATTACATATTGCTTAAAATGCAATATTCTGGTGTAAGTTTGAAGCTACATTTAAGCCAATGGTAAGTCCTGTTTGCTTTCACATTCTAAAAGCTGCTCTTGCTGTTCCTCTGGATTTTAATTTGTATTTTTGTGTACTTTTCATCAGGATTTGTTTTGTGCACAATGGGCATATTCTGTGATGGTGAGAAACTGTTGTGAGGAGTCTATTTTAGGTTTAACCTGAAGCCTTTCATTATTGTGAACCGTAATCTCTTAGACATGGTGATGGGCTTCTATCTGAAGAAATTATTCCTTGAAAGGATTGAAGGATTATATGTATAAAGCTAATGATTGTCTTCATTGGGAGCAAAACAGTTAAAAAGGAAACATACTTTACATTTTTTGCTGGTTCAGTACCCCAGAAATATTCTGGACTTTGCTAACTGCTCATAGCAATGCCAGCTAGTGGGAGGAGTTGCAACCAACCACAGCTTGTTATGCAAGAGGTCCTCTAAGTTAGGCAGCTGAACAAGGCAGCCTGACGTAAAGTTATGCTAGGCCATAAATAAAGCATTGACATGCTCTATTTGCATATTTTTATAAGCCAAAAAAATGCCTCTAGACTTTGTTACATTATCAAAATGGTGATAGGACAGATACGAACACACCAGTTACTATTTGCTTTCAGATTCAAGAATGGATGAGAGGCAGATAGACTTTCCATTCCCTGGCTGGAGCAATCCTCCACATTTTCCTTGATTACAAATGTTTTAGTCAAGAAGAAACAACAATGATCTGATAGATTGCCAACATTTCCAGGGCCATTTAAATTCGCAGACAATGGTTTTAAACCTAAGAATATGAGAAATTTCAGATCCCTAAATCCTGTACTTAATCCCAGATCTATAGCATCTTCCATCTAGCAGCTGTGGAAAATAATGAACCTGATTTTTAAGATACCTCTGCACTTTTACATAACACCACAGTGTGGCAATAGTGGTGACCTTCGCACCAGAATTCACTGCACAAAAAATGTAGATGTCTCCCTCTGGTGGGGTGGAAAAGAACATTGCAAGCAGTTTGATCAAGAATTCACTGCTGCTGAGTGTGAGGGCATCGTGAATTCTCCATGAACTGCACGGGAAACGCAGGACACTAACCTCTAAACCAAATAGTAAATAATTTCTGATTACTTTCCCCTTCCCACCTCAGACAGGATACTGTGCCAATAGAAATAGATTTTAGGCTAATGCTGAAAGGAAAGGTAAATTAAAAGACTGTGGGGGATTGCTAATAGGAAAATATTGTATTTAAACAATTTCAAAAGAGGGTAGCTTCTCCCTTAAAAGTTACAGATTCTTGTACTATGGCTCTTTACGTGTCTCTTTTGTCCTGCTGTTTAGTTGCTATGATTAAATTGTCCTACTTCTGTACTGTACTCTAAATTAACATCAATAACAACAAAATTACATTTGTATACATGTCGGGAGGACGTCCCAAGGCGCTAGACAGACAGAGTTACAGACCTGGGGTGGGGGAGGGTGGAGGCCAGGGGGGAAGCAGGGAGATCGAAAGCACGGTCGAAGAAGAGGGTCCTGAGGTGGGTCTTGAAAGTGGCGAGGGAGGAGGTGAGTTGGAGGGACTGCGGGATGGAGTTCCAAAGGGTGGGTGCAGAGTGGCGGAAGGCCCGCCCGCCGATAGTGGGGCGAGCAAGGCGGGGGACGTGAAGCAGGCCAGAGCCCGCTGAGCGGAGGGAGCGAACAGGGTGGTAGGGGGTTAGGAGGTCGGAGAGGTATGATCTGCAGCCTGTGGAGGGAGGAGTTGGGGAGGCCGACAAGCAGTGAGTTTGCATAATCGAGCCTCGGGCATAGTCGAATTAAATGTCCCAAGGTGCTGAAAATCTCTAAGTGCAAGGAAAGAACCACGAGTGTTTGTTGGGGTGAGACATTAGATTATTTATTATTTATAAATGTTGTCTGAAAACATAATATGTACAGATATGATTGCCCAAGTAACAATGGAAAACATAATACATTTTTACCAGGCAGGTAGGTGTTGGTGTAAAATTACATTTGTTTATGTTCAATGAGCCTCGTGTTTTTAAGACTGCAGTAACGGATATAATTGCTGCTCTCATCTTCTAGAATCATCTCCTCTCAACAATATGAGGCTCCCATGCAATTCAGATCTATTCTATTTAACCCGATTAATATGTGCCTTTCACTGCAACAACATTTTAAAATAATGTGAGTAGGGCTTGCAGAATTGGTCAGAAAAGCCCAGGAATACAGGGTTCATCATAAGGTATTCACAGGCAGTAGACACTACCTCAGGATGCCAGTGAACAGAAGCAACTTCAAATACATGCAACTTACGGAACATGCAGAAAGAAAGTCAAAATGACTTGTACTTTTAGAATGCATTTTTATCTCAAAATCTCACAAAGCACTTTACAATCAAGTGCAGTGACTGTTTTGTAGGCAAATTGTTTAGCCAGGTCCCGCTGCCTCAAACAATGATGAGATGAATGATCAATTTTATCAGGATTGTTAGCTACAGCACTCTTCTGTTTTCATAGAGTGTCAAGGGATCTTTAACATCTAACAGACAGATGGGACCTTAGTTTAACTGCTCATGCGAAGGATGGTATCTCTAACAACGCACTACTCGGGTGTTATGGCTGGAATTAAACAATTCATCATGATCTGCTGCTTTACAAAGGCAACCAGTATCCAATATCAATGATGGAGCTGGATTTTGCAACCGGGGGGCGCTGGGTCATAGTGACACCCCCTTCAATTACACCTATTGGCCCTCTTCCTGTCTCTCTATGTGCTGCCTCTGCTGCCACTGAAGAAGCACCATACACACACCTAAAGGCTGCAAGGAAGGGAGCAGGGGCAGTTGACCATATCCTGCCCCCCATTACCTCCACCACTGCCCTATATAAAAATATGTTTCAATATACACACACCTGGATGAAACACAGACTAACAAATATACTGTTCAAACTAACTTGCGTTTCAATATGGTTCTTAACCAAGTTCAAACCTGAGTCTTCACAGCAAAAGCTGTGTGCATTTTTCTTATAATCACATCAAGAATAGACAGAACCATTCTTTGAATAGATGTTGCACAAGTTTCTGCTATTGTTATGCAATTCAGCCAGTCATAAGGACACACTTAGTAGGCAATGTAAGTCAGTTATTATGGATACGTTACTGATTTTAGTTACTTGACATTTACACAGCATTTCATTACCTGTTCCGATCAGTTCTCCAGCATTCCAAGGAGTATTTGCTTAATATGAACAGTAATTAAAGAAACCATTTTGCTAAGTAATTGAATGTTCCTATTGAAGACGAGTCTTACTACACAATTTGATTTTTTAAAAAAGCTTTAGAAAAATGGTATTTTTATGATAATATTCATTGAAATTGATACAATCCTTTCACATCAACCAATGCAGATAAAACCCTCGTCCACGCTTTTGTCACTTCTTGGCTGGATAATTCCAATGCTGTCCTCACTGCTTTCCTCAGCTTCACTATACACAAAATTCAATTAATTCAAGACTCTACCACCCATCACACCAGTCCTCCAATCACTGAACGGATCGATTTCAAGATCCTCTCACTCATTTTCAAATCCCTTCATGCCCTCACACCTCCCTATCTCTCTGATCTGCTCCCCACTCCACCACCCGCTGCCTCCGCTCGACTGCCTCCGGTCTTCTGTTTGTCTCTCGCTCCCTCCACTCCACTGTCGGTGGCTGTGCCTTCAGCCACTATGCCCTGAAACTCTGAAACTCTCTCCCTCAATCCCTCCTCCCTCTCCACTTTCAAATCCCATCTAAAGATCTTCCTTTTTGATCGTGCTTACGGTCACCTCACTCTCCTGACTCGGTGTCAGACTTGCCACTGTCAAGTGCTCCACCCCACGTGAAGGGCACTATATAAATGCAAGTTGTTGTTGTATCTCAAATTTATCTATATTATACATTTCATTCATTTATTTATCTAAATGAATTCGCTTTTCATTGATGTCTCTTTTAAAATGATCGCAATCTTGTTTTAATAATACTGCTGCAGCAGTTCCAGTTGAGATTCTGATTTTTGAGTCAGTCGTTAAAGCACGCTAACAACAATAACACAACTTGCGCTTATATAGTGCACTCCATGCAGGGCAGCATCTCGGAGAGCTTAACAGTGGCGGGGGTGGTGGCCGTAGATAGATGAGAGGATAGAGGGGGCTTGAGGAGGTGCACGGAGAAGATGAAGGATGGTAGAAAACAGCATCTTTGAATTGTTGACTGCCTCCAGGATGAGGGCATTTGTGAGGGACTCAGGGGGAAGCTTTTTCCAGGGGCAAAAAAAAATGGTGGAGGGGTTTGGAAGAGTGGAGGGGAATGT